CAACGTAGTCGAACTCGGTGATATAGTTGTGTCCGATGAAATATCCCTGATGAATATTGTATATTACCTGAAACAATAAGTTTTTGTCACACCTAGGCCCCAGCTAAATAAGCAGGCATCCTATGCATTGGGCGTTTGCATAGTTCTTTCCCAATGCTTATCTTTAAATTAACAAAAGCCATGTGTAGAGACTTATCCCTCTATTGGACGCCCTTATACCGCTTAGGCCACTGCTGTATACAGCAAGTCAAGGAGTGGACTTCTACCCTCATTAACATACGTCACTCACGGGTGCACTGCCACTCCAGACATATATAGCTAGATCTGCAGTGGACCACTTGACGTACAGGACTTCTCCACCCGTCGGCCGTCCACCTTACACTTCTACAGGCCTTATATTTCCACAAAAAAACAACATCACTTAAAATACATAATATCTGCGCAATAACCAACTTTCTCAATATTATCAATATTAAGTGCTCTTACGGCACCTTACTTTCTCCCACCAGGGTATCCACCGCCATTATGGTGCTTTACCCATCGTTACACGCCGACTGCCACTTCACCATTGTTCTTATCTTAAAACCTCTCCTTCAACGGCCCTCTTTGGTTTTATTCTACGTATATTAGTCATTAATATTTGGTTAACCCAAATAGTTCTAATTTTAGGGAAATGCGAAGATTAGCTCAGGATAGGAAAGAGTGAATGTACGTGTCCAACCAGTCTTAGGACTTACGACCTGATGATGATGAGCCCAAATTGTAAATAAATGTCGAATAAATTCATTCCTATACAATTTTCCTTAATTTCTAAACAATTTTCCCAAATTCTAATACATTCCTACACATCACGAGTGGGAATTATGCAAACATATATTAATTTGAAGAGTTTATCATATTTTCCAAATTGAGTGGTGATTATGGACAATTATCGGCTATTATATATAATTGCCAGTTTACTACTTTTACCGTGACATATATACCAATACTAAGCTATATATTTTTTATCAATTAAACAAATAGTCAAAGTGACGAACATTCTGCACAAATTTGACAAAAAATACTATACGCACCTCGGGAAGGAGGTGGGCTATTACCACATGGTCTGTATTAGCCGACTTCCCTCCCTTGGTACGTAATATGCTATAATTTTTTAGCACTCATTATTCTTTACAACTTGTGTATTAATCCCATGGACTACAGAATAATATAGACACATAGTATAAGGCATGGATAGTTTATCCGTATTCCAATTATGACTAAGAAAGTAATTTGCAAGTCTCAGGTTTAATTACCCCAGCAGAAGTCCCAAATTAAGAGCGTTGAGGTTTATTGTAAATAAACAGCTTATTATCTNTCATGGAAAACAACACGTATACTAATTTGCTACCAATGCCTAGAAGGAAATTAAGAAGAATTTTAAGAAATAAATTAGGATGTGATCGAACTAGTGTGGAAAAAATCTATAAATTTGATTTCATTTAACCAGTCAAAATACATTTTTACCTGTTAAAAATGCTTTCTCTGGTGAATTTAGATTCGTCGGTCCGTATAATTGGTAAATTAGGGTATTTTTCATTAAAAGTTCTGTACGTATAATTCCATTGCATTATCCATGGATGAAAAATATAACATAAAGCATTTGTATACATATTGTTTTCCATGATTTTAAAATTGATAGTTAATTACCATTAATCTTAGCAAGTGGTGACAAATCTATCGTTTTTGTTTGTTTTCAATTTTTCTAGCAGATCCATAGCTATTTTCGTTAGAAATTCGATCATTATAATAAAAAACGTAAATAACAGGAAAGCTAAAAAAGATTACCATAGGGAAGTGTAATATGGATAGATAAAGTGAACAATTCTACAACTGAATTTGAAAAGATTTACAGAGCATTCCATTTAAAAATACAATGTTTTGATGGTTCGAAGTTACACAAATTAAATTTACATCAACCTGTATAATACGAAACAACTTTTAACGTAACTGTAGTAAATGATGGGCATCACCCTATTTTCCTTCCAAATATAAGTACTTTAGCTTGTTTTGAGTTAGACAATGGAAAAACATTTTTTTTTGATAACCATGGAATATCACAAACACTAGTGGACCTAGACATGGGGAAAATTCAATGATCCTCCAACATAACACGTAGATTCTAAAAATTCAAAAATATACAGGGTATTCCATTTAACATACGCAAGTTGATAACATACGGCATAACCGGAAGTGCTACAGGACTGGCATTATTTTATTTGAAAGAAACACCCCAGAAAACCATGAATATGAATATCGTAATGGGCCGTCACCGTAAGACAACCTGTATATATATATATAATAAAAACATACATATATACGAAAAATACATACATACATACATATACATACATGGTGTCCCAAGTAAGCGGGTTTCTTCAGTAATATCCTTTTGTTATAGCGGTTTATCGGGCTACAGGTATTTAATAAAAAGTTACACTAATTTATAAACACAGTTAGTAAATATAATATAATATGCTACTAAAATAAAAAACCAACTGTACGGTTCAAATAAGTGTCTTTTTAATGTATTAAATTAATTACTTTTTTCCTATACAACCGTTTGTATTTTTTACTATTATTGAATCTTTAGTGTCTTTTGATGGGTATTACTTAAATACCAAAAAAAACACTAATAATAACAGATAACAGTTTATAACAATAACAACGAAACACAAGTAACAAAAGGCACAAAGAGTGAAACAAACAAACGAGAACAAGGTAACAGAACAGTAACAATAACAAAGATAACAACAAAAATGAAAACAATGTAGAGAATAATAATGGAATAATCGAAGCACTTACGAATGGTGGTAGCGGTAGGCGAGAGACTGTCTTGAGATAAGAAATTTTAGAGTATTTATAGGATAGGGTTGTTAGTAATTTTAATAGAATGTTCTAGAAGGAAAAGTAGTGAGAGAGAGGGTGAAGACACTAGTTTCTAGGAATATACAGAATTAGATAGTACAGAATTCAAGAGAAAGCAATTAAGGGTAAAACCAGATATTAGTATGGGAGTGCATGCAGATATGGTTGAAGTTGGATTTCCAGGTAAAAGTGATTGAAAGAACAATAGAGTTTAGACTGAAAGGAAATATTACTTGAAATGAAATATTAATTGAAATGAAATAAAATTAGAAAAAATATTTACACACAGAAAAAACAAAAAGAGTTATTTCGCCACAAATCATACCTGAGCGTAAATTTTACCAACATAGTGTACTGGCCAAAAAAAACAGTAAGTTCGAATAGGCATGCATTACATCATAAATTCACGTAACAGTCTTATTAAATACTTGATAAATTCGTGTAATGGCCCTGTTACACAACGCGTGGAGCGGTAATCCATACGCGGTGTGTACTGCCTATTCGATGTGGTTGGGAGTACGAAGAAACGTCCTGGCGTGTTCTTTGCTGAACGATCTTTTCAAAATGTATGACAAATGCTTAAGGCAAATTTCTTTATGGTAGACTTATTTTCACTTCTCTGGGCACCGCAAGGTTACAAGCTTAATTATGTATAGAATTAAAGCTTATGTCTAACTGAATCGAAATCCAAAGGTATTAATAAAAAATAACACAAGAGCGCAAGGTGGGTCACCCTCACCAAGCCCTCTAAGAAATCGTTTCAAGACCGAATGGCAGTAGCTCATTATTCATAAAAGGAACTATAAATCAACACATTCTTAAAATGGTTATCGATACAGGGGCATCCAACACTATTGTTCGACCTGATGTGGTATCGGAACGACGAATTCTGCCTTTGGCAAGTAGACTATTTTAACTAGAGCAACCGGATGAACTTCACCAATCCATGAAGAATACAACGTAGAAATTGGAATTAGAAATACGATATTACACACTTGGGTATTGGTGGTCAAGATAGTAAATGATGTCATCATTGGATTCTTCTTTAAGAACATGGAATCGACTTAAATATTAGTACTTCCACAATGCGCGTCGATGGACAAGAGATAATAATGTCAAATACCAAAATGGTCTATAAGGCGATCGTAGAGGAAGATCGAATACTACCGAGTAAGTCAGAATAGATGACATCCGCGAATTGGTGCAGGTAATCGAATCAGGTAATCAGGATTTGTCATTTTTAAAAGTTCCACAAAGACGTTGAGTTGGCAGTATTCTAAAATTCTCTGTGATTGGGAAAAGATATTTGATACCGACATCATTTCCTGCAACATTCACATAGCTGCTAAAACGGTCAAGTAACCACTTCCGTAAGCACCAAGTCAATTCTGCCCACGTTATTTTTTATTATATTTGGGATTCCTATTCAGTAAAATACATACTTCAGTTGTATGCATAGTTCTGTTTTTGTAACCCCATAATGCCCACAAAATTGATTTCTAAGCCTTTTTAACGCTTTTGAGCATTCCACTATGTATACTATTTCGCAACGATGATCGGGAGAGGACGCGCTAGGACGATCCATCACACTCCAGTCTGCACCATCGCTGTTACACTTACACGGAGAATTGATAGGCATTCTATGCTGCTTCGAACATAAATCAGAAGTCCATGTGCCGTGTAAGAGGGGGCTTAACTAAGGGCGAATTGTAGGTTGTTGCTTTTCTAGGAATAAACAACTTTTCACCACATATTGACCTTAACTTTTCGCATTTGTAGAACAAGAGGAAGAAATGGAAAGCATTCATTATTCGATCTTGTGATCTTTGTTTTTTAATTTGCATTATGAATAAAAACGAAGTAGTTTTTATTCTATATATGATCTGTGGTTCACAACACTATATACTTAGAGGATATTATTGTTTTAAGAACACTACCTTCTTTAACGCTATTTAAATGAGAAGTACATGAATAACTATTCGTTTAACATATATAAAGACTCGTACTATTTTAAGTATATTCTTAGTAAATACTTAGCGTTTTGTAGAAGTGTTAAATGTTTATTATTGGTAGCAATTTCTTGATGCGTTTAGATCGAGGCTGCTGATAAGAAAATTCGAGCTACCGCTAAATTTTTGGAAGAACAAGCATCTGAGAGAGAACAAGAAAGAGATGAAGCCCTAAAAGAGATAATTTTGTTAAAAGATCTACTTAAGGAAAGAGAAAGAGACAGAAATAATTGCGAACAAATCAACAAAGAGGTGTGTAGAGTCGGTTTGTATACACCTGTTATATGCTTGCATGATTTATTCGCTACCAGTTTTCTTTTTAAAAGTATTTAAAGCAATAACATTGCTGTAGTTGATCATAATGAGTTTAAAATTGTGTTCCATGCTCATTTGAGTGAAGTGCGAAAAAACTGCATTTTTCAGTCGCACATTTTTATGATATGAATACATTGGATAAAATTAACCTGTTTAGGGTGGTAGCTGTTTCTTGTTGAAACTTATCTTTAATTATCAAAATAACATAAAGTTTCACGAAAACTTATTATGTTCACAACAATCCTGTTTCACCACACAGTGGCATCATCAGGTGATGAGTGTACAAACTTAACTGATTTATAATTATCTATAGATTTGTTAAGTTAGTATTGAGCAATTATTAAAAGCAAACTATTGCCTTCTATTTGGTCGTTTAAAATCACTATTTTTTATAATATTTATCTATTTCTAACTTTTCCATTAAATTTAACTTAAAACCTTTATGTTGTATATTAAAAATCTTATAAACGAAGTTGAAGTTTGTCTATCAAATGTTCTGTATAGGTGGAGTCTACTTTTTCTTACAAAAACTTTTAAAATATTCGTTTATGCGAATTTCAAACTTTCTGACTGTTTAAAATAATTCAAAGTGGTCTGTATTCTATCGAAACTGCCAGACGCGGATCGCGATTTCGATCTTTTTGGATCTGATCAGCGCGTCGCAGGCAGCTCCGACAGACACAGACCAACTTTTACCTGCTGTCTTAACAGTGCGTTTTAGAAAATACTACAAATGGCGCAGTAAACGCCATCTGTAACGCGATGCTACATTTTAGGATTACGTATGCTCCAACAAGGTCCACTTGTGTGGATATCTACTTGCTAAAAACGAATCCCGGCGTAGCCAATCTCAACGTGATAGGCACATTAGCTTAATCGAATAAAATAATTCGAAGTGGTCTGTATGCGACGCGCTGATGAGAGCCAAAAAGATCGAAATCGCGATCCGCGTCTGGCAGTTTCGACAGAATACAGACCACTTCGAATTATTTTATTCGATTAAGCTAACGTGCCTATCACGTTGAGGTTGGCTACGCCGGGATTCGTTTTCAGCAAGTAGATATCTACACAAGTGGACCTTGTTGGAGCATACGTAATCCTAAAATGTAGCATCGCGCTACAGATGGCGTTTACTGCGCCATTTATAGTATTTTCTGACTGTTTGTTCTGTATACATTAGGACAGTCTTTACAATTTTATGAATAAACTCCTGAACATTGATGTTTAAAGGCTTCACATTTATTATTGTATAATTACCTAAAGAACTGTGACTCTTAAGATTATAAAACCGTTTTTGTTACTTCGTACAATTTTACTTTTAACTTTTTTCACTGTATGGACATCACAGAAGAAAAAATAACCCGCCAACAAAATTTTTTGATAATTTTAGAGACATTAGTGAAGAAGAATTACAACATATAGTAAGTTTAGCAATTTTCAAGTGGCTTCCATAAAAAATTTTGAAGATACAAAGAATTACAGCATATGTTTTGCTGTAATTTTAAGAAGTGCATACGTCCTTAACATGTGATAAGCGAATATTAATAGACTGAAGAAATATTAAATTTATGATCGTATAAACTTAAATAAGTCCCTCCCCTACCCACCTGCATAAATACAACATGCGCAGGAGAAATCGCCAGATAGTACCGACAGTGTTCACAGTGTAGTAACTTAGACTCAGTTCAGTGCATAGCTCACAGTTAAACTCCAAAAAGTCTTTTCCAAGACTTCACCAAAATTAATGACCCTGGTCAAGACACTGGTCAAAGCGAACTCTTCAAGAAAATAAAAATCCGGGAGAAACAATCGCAAAATATGAAAAAGCAATGGAATACGTCTTTCACACCTTCGGAAAAAAATTAAAAAGTCGACAAACAAACAAGAACAAGATCAAAAATCAACAAAGGACCGAAAACATCCCAGAATGAAAATCCCACCAACAACCATCTTATAGACACCATCGAAAAAGAATCAACGACTAACCAACCAACCACGCAAACGGAAAAACCAAACTAAAATACACTTCTCCTACAATTTAAAGAAGGAGTTACGAAAGCAACTAGAAAAAACGGCACGCAACTACAACCAAATCGTGACAACAAAATTCAAATACACGTAGAAAAAGAATAACAGAAAACTCCGCCAATAGTCTTACGTGAACCACACAAATGGAATACAATGTCTACCCTACTCTTACAAAATAAACTACAATACAATAAAGCAAGAGCCAGCAAAGATGGTATCAACATTTATCCAGATGGTGAGCAAAACTTCAGATCTATAACAAAAATCTTTGTCGAAAATCAGATGCAATACCACACGTACAAACTGAAACACGAAAGACAATTCAAGTTAGACATAAGAGGAATACCATCATCCATAACAATTGAAGAAATAGCGAAAGACCTGCATCAACAAGGATACCCAGAGATAAAAGCAGCAAGGATGAGCAACTGAAACGGGCATGAAATACCACTAGTCAAAATGGAAATAGACAGAATCTAAAAGCCCTTATATAATCTCAAGTAATTCCGCAACCTACAGTCACAGTAGACAGGCTATACAGGAAACATACATGTAGACAATGTCACCGCTGCCAGAAATTCAACCACTCTCAAGTGGAATACAAATTTCTCAAATGCGCAGGTAACCATTCAACACACTTATGTACCAAACCGCAGACTACTCCAGCAAAATGTGCTAACTGATCCGGAGAACACTCTGCGAACTGCAGGAATTGCCATGAAAATCCGAGAAGAAAAATGAAAAAGCACACGCGAGAAACCAGCCCCAACATACAACCAAGACGAATCGCCGAAACAAATACAAATTCCAATCTACAGCCAGATCACAAAAACAGGCCAAAGCAAAAGCAAAAAGGAGGAACTATCGAAAATAATCGGGGAAATGTTCTTCTAATACAGCCAGCTAAATCTCACGCCCAAACAAGCGGCAAAATTCATCAACATAACTAAAGAACAAGCCAACCCATGAAAAAAATCAACAAAAGAATTTTAACCAGCTTCAAAATAGCATACTGGAACGCACAATCGCTACCAGGGTAAATCAACTTAATGAAGAATTTCGTCTCATCCAACAACATAGTTATTATGTGTATAGTAGATGATACCTTTCTCAAACCAGACCACATTCATTCTCCAAATCGGCTCGGAAACTTAAAAAGACACACTACAAATAAGTATCACTAACTGGGAAAAAATCAGAAATGAGCTTAAGGACATACTACAAAGCTTCCAAACAACCTACCAGGACGAGGAAAAACCAGAAGAAGCAACAACAAGGCTCTAAAACCTCATTCAGGAATCCATCAAACAATCCACGCACATCAGAAAAAAAGAAATTAAAGAAACATTTATACCCAGTTTCATCACCGAATTAACCAAAGAAAAGTCTAAGCAAGGAAGAGATACCTACAGTCCTTAAGACAAAACCACATTAAATCATCTTACCAATGAAGTGAAGTCGCTCCAAATGGAGTACCATAACTCAATATGGGAAGAAAAACTAAACGAAGCTGAACAATCAGACATCACATTCTATTAAATTGTCAAAAATCTTAAGAAAAAAGCAGCAACATAGGTCCACTTAAAACAGTCCACGACACAAAAGCAATCATAAACACTGAAAAGGCTGAGCTCCTAGCAAACCATTTTGAAGAACAATTTAAACCTAATCCAATTGAGGACATGCTACAACGTATAAACTATGAAGATCACATCAACAACATGGTCCACAAAATATTAGCGGAGCAGTCACCCGAACCAATAATTACAACTACTCCCCAAGAAGTAACCGAGCTATTCAAACACAGGAACAACAAAAAAGCACCAGACCCGGACAGCATTCCTAACAGAGCATTAAAGGAACTCACACAAATTGCGATAGAAATCATTAACAACATACACAACTCCATCTTAAAGCTAAAATTTCTGGAAAAATGCGCAGAAAAATTCTGTGAACACTTGGACCACCACATAAATCGAGAAATAGTCAATCTAAAAACAATGAACAACACCGTAAAATAAATTTATATCAACATGCCACTGCAGTAAACACCATATTAGCACAAATCACATGATGAATATGCAAAGAAGCCTGACTTCGGCATCTACAACACAGAAAGAAAAAAGAAAAATTGTCAGTCCATATCCAGCAACGGAGATGAAAGGACCTCTGAAGAAGCTCCCCACTTGTGCTAGCGAATCTTAAATGTCAGGAATAATATGGTATTAAGTCATAATAATAGCGGTAGATAGATTTCGTAACTGGAAGCAACATATTTTGTCAGTTGTTAAAAATGCAGATACATCATATTTTTATTTTCTAAGTTGATGAAATTTTTAAACATTCAACAACAATTACAATTATGTATTATGCTTCATTCCATTCAATAGCAATGGTATTATTGGGAGGGATGGAGCGAGCATACAGTAATTCTATAAACAGTCTCATAAAACTTCAAAAAAGATTTTGAATACTACTGGTCTTGTTAAAGATAGTAGAATCATAAGTAGGTATCCAAAAGAATTATGCCTTTAACTTACTAATTTCACAATATGAAACAAGACACCAATTTTCGTGAAACTTTATGTATTTTATTTTAATGATAGTACTAACCAATGGACGATAACCAAGGTTAAGAGATGTGAGAATATAGATTGATTGTTTTTGATTGAGTTAACAGTTTCTAATGTTCCTTAGTTTGGTTATTTTTTATTTCAAAAAAAGTAGATTGAAAGGTCTTTTATTTATTAAAAAATAACTCGCTTACCAAGTATCTATATTTTTCATTCTTATATTTTTAACTATGCATCTTTAATATAGTAACAAATTGGCACATTTTACCGTACCTATTTTGAAATTGCATGCTAAAAATTGATTATGTTCTGCTTACAACTATTTTTGATCACATA